ATATACGGGACATGCTTCTTACTCATGGTCAGGTTTATCACACATACCAGCCTCGAAGTCTGTGTGCGTCGGGGATATTGGGATCTGATAGTACCATGCTATCTCTGGAAGCGGATAGGGTGCGACCATTATAGTCACCTACACGTGCATTCGACACAGCCAAAATAGATCCCTCTTGCTTGTCGAAATCAGTAGCTGTGGCTCCCCAGAGCGTTATGCTACGAGTTAAATAGACTTACAAGTGAGATATTTTGCACAGACTGCGCATAAAGGTAGCACAGAAAGTCTACAGCTATATGCTATATAAGTACATGTTGCTTGACATTGCCTCAAATTACGACTACACCGTCGGATACAATGTAAATGTGTACAAGGCCGTGGAGAAGTTTGTAACAAAAAATTGTATTACACACATCGTGATTGCGCACTGCCATGATGCTTTGTCCGACATAAACCAGATACATACAGACACGATCACTTCTGACCATCTCCCCACACCATTCGATATTGAAGAGTTGTCATCCACTTCGCCAAAACGATTCATGAGCGATTTGTACTATATAACTGCTAGTAAACACTCGTGCGTACACACGCCATCCTGCAAAATGCAGAGAGGTGATGAACGACTTGGCCCCAGAGTTGCACCCATGATCATTTGCGGCGTAGTTGCACTCACATACAGAGGCGTAGGCAATACTAAAGAAATAAAGACCAGGACAAGGAATGCCATACTTGATAGCCTTGTTTGAATCGTCGATGAGCGTCATATCCCTTTTGGTCACATCGCCGCCGGCACGAGTCCTGATGTTGACACAGTCGTTGACCACCGAAATCACACCGATCACATCTACAGTAGCATCCTTCACTTGGTCGTTGATGTTTCCAATCTTTTCGAAATTGTACTGAATTCCTGATCATGGCGAAAATTAAGCACGAGAAGAGAAAAATAAGAATCGAGAATGGCGTGAAGTGACCAACCAACAGCTAGCGCCCTCAAAAAGGCAGTTCACATGCATTCCGGGTGATAGCTACGCCCGTTGAATAAAATATTGTACACTCAATAATCTAGTAGACAACTAATGGCTGTCATAAGCAGATCATTACGTTCGTTCTAAACGGCGGAGGTGAAATAGTATTGAAACATCATTGCAGCGCAAACGATGGGGCAGCAGGATTACAAATAATTTAAATGAGCGCATCAGCTTGAAGATGTGCACATACTTCATACACTAATACAGATTCAGAAACGAACGTGTGCTGCTTGTGTAGAATGAGACAAACGTCCAGATACAATAGCGTAATTTGATAAACCTACAACTGCATTTTTTTTCTCTAAGCAGAGATGATTTAAGTGTAAGTACAGTGTTACGGAGGTCCTTAAACGCACGTACCTGGTGCCTCGTCATCGGGCATCTCCGTAATGACAGACGATTTATTGAGTGTGACTTCGCACTGGTGACCGGTTGTGTTGTATCTCTGGTTGGCAAATTTGACCTCTCCTCCCGATATTGTATACACCTGGACCACAAATTTCAAGAACACATAGCAATGGAATGTGAGATTAACATTTCAAGTGGGCTTATAACTATATTGTCAAAACTATTTGGGCCCGATCATGACTGTGTAGCTGAATCATCGAGCCGACATGCCCTGAAGGTAGTATGTAGTGCAACACGTGCCCATCACTTGCATTTGTACGCAACTGTCAAGAGCCAAATTGCGTACAATGGATACGCCTGGGCAGAATAAGAATACACAGTGTTAAAGACAGAAGTTTTATCAGAGTATAAGATGCCATAGATTGTGCACGCATAAAGTGCCGTAAATGAATACAGATGCATCCGGATACAGTCTCGAAATACAAACTAGCACAAGTCTTTACTCTAATTACGAGAGTTTGTATCTGCCATAGTAAGGTGATACAGCCTACAAGTAGTCGCACGGGTAACTAAATTGGGGTTTACACAAATAGGAAGTGAACGATGTACGTATGCGCTACTAATGAAAATCAGGGCCATTTGGCCGTTGATCAGCAATATTGAACGTCCCGAAATGAGTCGAAGAATGAATAAAATACTTTCGTGCTCTGGATGGTGCCCAAGATTCTCTCAGCTACTCTGTGTATGCATATCTGTACATACACGTATTCGACCTTACTGTATCAACCACAAGAAGAACATACTTTTGTCCTCTGAATAGTTCCCCTCACAGCAACTTTGTGTATGCATATCTGTACGTTCACATATGCTCGTCCGTAAAAATTAATCACAAGAATAACATACTTTAGTGCTCTGGATGTTTTCCATGATGGTCTCGGCCACTTCGTTGAAGCCCGTCATCTTGATTGTGCCGGTGGTATCCTTCAGATTGAACGAGATTAGCTTGCCCGATCCCTTGTCGTTGTTCCAGTGACGATAGTCGCCCTTCATCACACAACGGCCTGTTTATCAAGAGTAGTTGTATTGTATTTAAGTGGGGAGAGCATGAATGGACCACAGATGTGTGAAGTGCAGAATAGGGATACATCACTGCGTACGTATATATTAAGCAGGAGATCAAAGCACACACATACCACACACCACGCACATCACCAGCCTACAACGCATACATAATATATATATATATATATATATATATATATGTGTGTGTGTGTGTGTGTGTGTGTGTGTGTGTGTGTGTGTGTGTGTGTGTGTGTGT